AGCATTAGTTGTACCTTAAAAAAAAACAATTTTTTTGAAAATAAGTCCCGTTATTTAGTTATTGATAATTTATATATTGACAATTTAGCAACAAATTTTTATTATGTAATATTTCATATGAAACCATCATTTTCCACGTTTAAGAAGTAACACCAAAACAGCAATTACTGCTATAATTAAAAGTTTCTATAAAACAATTGTTAAAAAAGCTATCAACACATAACTGTTGATCGTGCCACGATCGAATTCGTTGAATTAAACGGATTTAACGGATGGCTCTGCATCAGTTATGAATTCGTTGGACATTTCTGAATAAGAATAGCTTTATTTTGGTTAATTTATAACAGTTTTTTTAATATGCCTTTTTCGCGTACAACATTGCCTCTCCGCCCATTGTGTGCCTGTTAATAATATAGTAATGCATACGGCCAATATTTTTGAACTTTAATATGTGTACATTAGGGTGGTCCAAAAATGCATGTGAAAAAGTAAAATCGGAATTCTTATGCTGTCTTTCCCTAGGATTGTTCTATGCCGAAAAAAATATACCCTTGTTTTTTTTTTGTTTTGAAATCAAAAAATATTTAGAGGTCGCTCAAAGCGCCAAAAGTTTTCCATGTGTTTTATATGGGGAAAAACAAATTTTCGTAGAAATGGTATAGAATAGTTAAAAATCTATATTTTGCTACTAGAAAACTTTGTTTATCTGCAGGAGATTGCCAGTAATAATACCCAATTGTTTATTTAACCATTTTTTCATGGCAACTATAATTTATAGGTCCGCTAAAAAACTACAAAAACCCCGAAAAATGCAATGGAGCGATCAATAAAAAAAATATTAAAAAATGGTTAAATAAATAATTGGGTATTATTATTGGAAGTCTCCTCAAGAGAATTCTCTTCTCCTATCGAAAAATATTGACTTTCAAGAATTCTATCCCATTTCTACGAAAAATTTTATTTTTCCTATATAAAAATACATGGAAAATTTTGAGCGCTTTGAGCAACCTCTGAATATTTTTTGATTTCAAAATAAAAAGATAGGAGTATACTTTTTTCGCATTACAATTCCGATTTTAACGTTTCTGGACCACCCTAGTGTACATGCATATATGGTCTAACGCGACTGCCGTTCTAAGGAGGAACAAATTAGCACGCTGGTAACATATTGCGGTTATCGACTAGTAGTTTATGAACGAATATTAGTCGATTACACGGTGCTACAAAAAAAAAAGTTATGAAATACACCCGAAACAATACCTAGTGTAGGTTGTAAAAATGGTCGAGTACAACAAAAAAATAGGTTCCGTATATTGAGGTTCCTTTCTCTGTTTAACTTCGAAAGCTACCGAAGAAATTTCGTTTTAGGTTTTTCTGTAAATTTGCTATTAATTTTGCTAGCGGACATCGTAGTTCGCATAAACGAGTCAAAATTTGCGACAAACAAAATTCAAAAGTGTATGAAAAAATATATTAAATTTCGACAACTGACCGATACTAGTTTAAATAATTTCACCTCCAAAATAGATATGGTACTTAGCTATTGATTTGAAATATATAATAATTTTTAGTAAGAATTCCTCTTTACAAACAAATGAGCACAGTTTTGAATTTTTTTTCTTTCACTTTATTTTGTAAATTCCTTATAACTAGTATTTTCTTTAAAAGTAGTACAAATGTTTATTTATAGTACAAATGAATTTAATACACTCTGGGTAATGTTGAGAAGTAGTAAAGAGGGGTAAAGAACAGAATATGTATGTATACTTAAATTTATATATGTAAATATGTAAGAATGTAAATGTCTGCTACTGTTGGCGTTAAATTAAAAACTTGAAGTATACTGTAAAACGTACAAAAAAATATGGAAAATATGTATGTGCAGTTGTAGTTTGGCGCTACATTTACGTATGCACATATGTATATGCTAGTGTTTGGGTTTTATTATGTACATATCCGATGGTCCTGTGCAATAACGA